AAAGCAGCAAAGTTAGTTCTTTGAAAGTCACTTAAAATGCAATTTCGTATCAGGTATTTGTTTTGTCGTATTTTGTATATTGTCGGGTATTTGTTTTTCGTGAAGCGATTTTCTTATATCTAAGAATTGTATGAAAATACAATTTAAAAGATACAATTTTAACAAATAAGCATAAGTTTTGCATATTTATTGACGGAAATCGTGATTTTAAATTTAATTTAATATTGACATTTATTTTCGAAGAATTAGTTCTTACAAGACTCGAATTATATTAAAAAAAGAAATATTCAACTGAACTGAGTGCAAAGATTTAAATTTAATCCAAAGAAGATTACATATTCCATTAAATTGCAAGAAAATGAAAAATTCTTAAATCAAGTGTAATATACAGGGTGATTCTAAAAAGATGGGCAAAATTTTAGGAAGTGATAGTACACACCCAAGCAAACGATTTTTATCAAAGAATGCATGGTCGAAAACCAAACGCAAAACCGCTAGAGGGCGTCGAAGTTTATGTTATGTTCTTATATGAGGCAAAAACACTCAAAGAGCGATGAAGTTAAGTAATAAAAGCAAATTTAATGGCATGTGATTACCATAAGTGTTCAAAACAGTGGCCGGCAGCGGCTATGCACGCAGTACAACGGCAAAGAAAAGATAGGCGAACATTCTGAAACACACTAGGTATGTCACGAACTTTCCCTGCAGTGGCCGAAAACTTGGCGACAAGTAACGCAGCGCAGTAGCTCGCAACAGGAATGGAGCTTTCACGTTTGCATCAAACAACTTTCCAAATGAGCCAGCACCTTTGCATTTTGTTTTCGATCATGCATTCTTTGATAAATATTGTTTGCTTGGGTGTGAACTATCACTTCCTAAAATTTTGCCCATTGACTAAATGAAACGGAAATTATCTCTACAAAGAAAAGAAAAAAAACGCATGGAAAGGTTAACGCGTTGATCAAGAACTTTTGCATGCTAGTGAAATGTTGAAACTTCTTAAACGAATATTTAGAATATTCTATTTAACTATACTAGAGGAACCCAGTAATATATGTGCAACAACAAGTAAAATCTAATCTATAAACCTTAAAAATATTTATTAATTTTCATAATTTTTAACAAATAGTCCTAAAATAATGAATGATAAAATTTGATTTTCTTTAAAATTGGAATTATGGGAAAATTTGATCAAACCCTACTTTTATGACTCATAACTTTTTAGTGTAAGCCAATATACTTTGATTTCTTATAACAATATCAATTCCTTTTTATTCGGTATACTTTAATAAATCCAAGCGAACCTTGGAGCTCTTTTCTTTTAATAAAAATTCCTCGAGCTTCCTTTTTTTTAAGAGAAAACTTATCATAAAAGCAATTATAGAGGAAGGTGGGATTGTGAGGAAAAGACATTAAAAATAAAGAACAAATAACCAATAAAAACTACGCAACATTATTAGAACAGGTTCCGTATTAGGACTTATATACAGCTGCAAGAATTTCGCTGTATGATTTTAGGTCCATTATCATATATATTGCAGACGACGAAAATTGCCTCAGAGATATGATAAGTTATGAATGGAGACAAAAATATCAAAATAAAAGGGGCTTGTCAAAAAAGCAACAAAATGGGATATATCGCTTTAATTTTCTTTTTATTAAGTTTTAGAAAATTACATAAAGGAATTGTATCGTACGTGGAACATATAGGTTCGTTGACTGAACAAAAAGTTAAAGGAATTTTTCTTACTCGATATTAAACTGGACAATGGAATGTACGAATGTAATTGAAAATTTGAAAAGAAATTTATCTTTCAAACTATATTTTTCAAGTATTTAATATTATTTTTCCGAATCGCAAGCTTTCTTGATTCCAGCAGAATAATTGAGTTCTAAAATAAATTTTAAAAAATGCAATAGTTAAGGAACTAAAGTAGAATTTCAATTATCTGCTTTGATTTAATTGGTTTTAGTTGGAATGAATTGAATTATCTAATTTGATTGAAATGATGATAGTTGAAATAAATTGAATTATCTATTTTGATTGAATTGATCACAGTTGGAATAAATTGAATTATCTAATTTGATTTCAGCTGGGATGAAGTGTAAAAATTAATTGTTTTAAGAGCTGAAAAAAGAAGAGTAATAATAACGCTTTTAATTACAGTGTTAGAATTTTTGGAAAATGTTAAACAATAATATCGATCTAATTAGTGCCAATTTTAATAATGGTGATAATTAAACCCTATTATCATGCATGTTATACCACCTTGATAGAGATAAAACGATACTATGGTAAACGATATTAAAACGATATAGTTGAAACGATACTTACTAAACTTGAAAGAAATCTTTTGAGACTTAAAAGAAACTTGAAAGAAATCTTTTTAAGGTTGCAACAAATTTTCACAACTTTATGGTTCAATATGCTGGCATTATGATTCAGCGTTGAACAGATTTTTCTGAGAGGAGACTGTAGCAACTACAAAATAAAAACTCTTGTTCAAAATAAAATTGACACAAGAAAAATTATTAAAAGAGAAAAAAGAGAGCAATGGTTTAGGAATTAAAATATGTTGTGTTAGATATCTAACTCTGAAAAATAATGTTTATAGTTTTAAATGGAGCTATTGATTTAGATACAGCGTAATCGCTGTATCTAAATCAATAATTCTCTCTCAATAAAGCTCTTTTTAAAGTATTGCATACATCATTCATCCACTTATCTTTGAATTATAGTATGAATACAATATGTTCATAGCTCTTGTATAATTATATTTCACTACTAAATCATAATTCTCTTAAAGTCTACAATATGTTGCATAATTGAAAACTATCTCCAATTCTCTACAGATTTTATAAAGTGTCATTCAGCATAATACTAATGCTTCTACCGTGGCATAATATTGATACAATAATGATTTTAAAATGAGTAAAATTTGCGAGCTATATCAAATAGTAACATTTATCTTCTTTAATGCCTGTATTTTAAAAAAAAATCCTTGTTAAAAAAATAACTCTAACATTGCCTGTGTTTAAATAGCTAACTTTTTTGTGTGGTTACCGCTGAATATTTTTTTTTATCCAGAGTTTTAAAATTAAGAGCACGAAACTATCATCGTGAAGGGTACCAGTAGTAGCTTGAAATGATAGTATCAGATCACTGAGATACCAGCTAGTCTGGAAAGTACATTGTAAGCAATGATAAACCAGATGGTCACAATCACGTCGTTGGGCACAAAATTGTGCAGTCTTCACCTACATGACCCCCTTAGCATACAACGGGCTGTAACTAAATATGTGGTAACTTTGTACGGGTTTTAATACTTTACAGTTTTACAATTATTTAATACTGCGTTTTCTTATTTGGAAAATTTGACTATCAAAACTAAAATTTAAGTCTCAAGGATGTTTTGCCAAAATTAAATTAGCAAAAATTTCTGAAAAATAAAGTTAGAATGTGCAAAATAATAAGAGGAACTAAGCAAAAAAAAAGTTTTTCAAAATAATTTCATTAGTTTCTAGACAAAACTTCATTTAAGTTTGCCATTTTTACCGTGACAAGGATAAATCATTTGACTCTCTCTAACAGTTTGAGATCAAATAGAGCAACAGAAAACCAAGTTTAAGGAATTTTTAAATGACCACTCTTATTGAATTTTTTTTCCATCCTGATAAGAAATAAAGGAAGGAAATACAGAATTATTCATATTAGGCCATATAACGCGCTATCTAATTGAGTCAAAGATTTAGTGAAAAAAAAATTAATAAAAAAATATCAAAACCAGTCTGATTGCAGGAGGAAGCGATTTCTAATAATTGCCTTTTAACTCTCCTTAATTCTCCTGCTTTCGGTTCCACCTTCATAAATAGTAATTTGATAAATTTTGATAGCATTTTTCTTAGTATAAACATTTAAATATTAGTTTTTTACTCCTAAGTTGTATATGTCGCAGGGTGATGATAAATGCAGAGATTTGATTAAATCTTTAAGCTAGATGATCAAATCGTTAAGCTAAATGATGAGATGATGTAAAAATAACAACTCTTTTAGGTGATATCCCTAACTAGAGTAAGTGATTTAATCAAATCCATTAACTGTTTTAGTTAAAAGATTAAATAATATTGTTTAGATTTTACTGTCAATGTAATTAGTAAACTGTTAATATTAACAATCGCCTTTTATTATTAATAAAAAGCAACTCAGTTAAAGTTAGCATAAATGTATACCGGGCAGGGGCATTTAACCTTTAAAGAACATCAATGTAGCGAATACCGGGCAATGGCATTCACTTCACTTGATTGATCTAATTATTAAAAATAATATACTGTAATTATTATCAATATTAGCATTGCAAACACTAATATTTTAATTAATCGGAGGGGAGTGATGAGGTTAAAAACAGGGAAACATAAAGCTGTGCGAGTCCTGACTGGTTTATTTCACCTTTTCACTAAAACAGTTAAGGGATTTGATCAAATTATTAACTTTTAAGTTAATCACCCCCAAAGAGTTAACATATTGCGTGAATTTATCGTCTGGGTTAGGGATTAGATCAAATCTTCGATTATATCTCCTCCTTGAAAACAAATCAGAATCAAATTCCGATATAAAGTACCAGTACTTTGGGTCCTCCGTGAAATTAATTTTAACGTAAAATCTATTTTTACCGTAAAATATACCGTAATTGTTACAGTAATATTTATTTAATTTGAGTAATTCAGTGATTTTACTGTAATTATTACTACTTAAATTACGGTTTTGTTCCGCAACTTGTTCCGGTAGATATAGATTTGACGATAAAAAGAAACTTCACTTTGATTACCGGTACTTTTTACCATACCTTACCGATACGTTACAATAGGATCGAGAATTTTTTACTGTTTATGTATATTTGTAAAGGATTCTTAAAACTGAGAGACTATATGACTACAAAGCTATTATCTGAAATCAACAAACATAAAGAAATAATTCATAATCATAATTTATAATCTTTCAGGTTGTTCGGCCAGGAGGGAGAATGTCATGCCTGCAGAGAAACTATACCTGCCACAGAAATGGTGATGAAAATTCAAGGACTGGCATACCACTTGAAATGTTTCATCTGTTCTAGGTGTCACTCTAATTTGACTCTTGGTGACAGATACCAGCTGTGGGAAGGACGAATCCTTTGTGACAGAGAGTGTCTGAGACTGCTCAGACGTAATATGAGCATTGGAACTTCACGCAGAGGGGCTAAGACGCCAAGAGCTCAAAGTGCTGCGAAAACATGACAATGATGATTTGTTTGTTGTCATTTAGGTGGATTTTAATATTTAATTTGTAGATATTGTTTAATGAAATGAAAAAAAATCTATATAACTTAGTTGTAACACAAAAAGTCATATGTTCAATTTTTATATGCAAGGTGTTTTGTTATTACTGCTCTAAACTTTTAAAATCCTTATCAACTGTGAAGTCATAAAAACCTGCAATTCAGAATCAATAAGGAGCACTTAACTAACACTAAAAATTATTTACTCTTTGATAATAGTTTTTTTCTTTTTATTTTATTTGACAATTAAACTAGTTTTTGATTATTTTAACTTCATCTTTTCTCTAATTCAACGCAATAATGTTTCGTTAGCTTTTGATTTTGATAAAAAATAAGTTTTTGCCATTTTATTTTCCTCACGGATTTTGGAAATGTCATTACAAGCGGTAACTACGTAACACCCTATGTAAAAATTGCCTATCTTTTTTTTTAATTTACTTCAAAAAAATTACTGCTGTAACTTTATCACAATATAAAAAGTAAACACTTTCGATAAGTGCAAAAAAATAAAAAACCAACTTACAGGTCTTTTGTTTAAATTTAGTTACATTATTAGTACATCATTGCCTCGTCATATTATCATAGCTCGCATTCAAAAATTTAAAAAGCATAAGTGCAAAGATTCATCAGATATTAAAACTTCAAAGAAAAAAAAGAATGCATGAAAAAAATAATATTTTAGGGAAAAATTCCAATGCAAATTATGGATCATTAGCTTCATCAGCTAATTATACCCTCTTATTAATATTAATCATTATTAATTAGCATGCGTTATTAGATTCCCTCGAGTCACGAAATTCAAAGCTAATTCATCCCATTTTGGCTGTTGTTGAAGTATTATTACACTCAAATTATCACAGAGAGTATTTCTTGCTTGTGTCTACACATTGTTCACAGTATGCTTTTTTTAATAAAAGAATTATAAAGATTAAAAGAATATTTTTTCAATTTAATGTTACTTTTTCATGCAATTGAGTATTATTTTTTCATACTTTTACATACAATTAGCTTCAATGTGATCCTGGCTTTTTTTTATGTTTTTATTAGCTTATTGTTTATATTTCATAGAAGAAAAACTAGTATGTAACCATGTTTTGGTAGTATTATTTACTATCGTATTTTCCTTATTTTTAGTATTTAGAGTAGGGGTGGCCAAGCTCCTTGATAGTCGAGCCATTTTTCAAAATTTGAAACTTTTCGCGAGCCGCAATTAAGTACGTATTTAAAGGGGTATGCAAAAAAGGCATTAAAAACTTTTCTTTAACAAAAATTATATTTATTGAGAACATAGAAGTAAAAGTACAAAATATGTGTATTGAATTTAAATATTAAAAATTAAACACATTTATTTATTTCTCTTGATAATTCCTTAAAATTTGGTGAATAATTGGTGACAGCACTTCTCAGTAATTCTTTGAGATGCTGGTTAGTTAATACTGATCGGTGTTTGGATTTCACGAATTTTAAAGTGGAATAAAATGATTCACATAAGTACGTTGTTCCGAATATTGAAATAATTCGACAAGCAGCCTTTTTTAATTCAGGATACTTCGATTCTGGTACAAATTTTCAAAATTCAGTAATCGACGTCGACTTATATTTTAATTGTGGATCTTGATACTCTAGCATCTCTATTAATTCTAATTCTCCAGATGCTTTTTGTGTCATAGTTTTTTGGAAAGGAAAACTCACCTTGAATTGAACAACGCTGCACTTAGTCTTTCATATTTGTTCTCAGTAATTTAAAAGACATTTTGAAACACCTACGGTATAATATTAACTTCTTAAAATATAATAGCACAAAACTGAAAAGGGAACTCGAGTACATTTATCGAAAGCCACAAATAATCCTTCAAAGAACCGCGTGTGGCTCGCGAGCCGCAGGTTGGCCATCCCTAGTCTATTACATCAGTACGACTCAATAGTGTTTAAGAAATATATAATTAAACTAGTTACTGAAATAAATAAATACCAGGAGTAATTTAACAGTTTATTGTAAATTTTTTAATAGTTTAATTCTAACTAGCATACGTCATTGCCGAAGAGAAATATTTTATAGCCAGAAACCAGTCATTCGTACTTTTTGCTTTGGAAAGAATACTTTTTTTTTGATCAGATATAAATTTCAGATGCGTAGTCAAGTCCCTTCATTACAAGTCAGTCATTAGTCTTCTGAGGAATAAAAACTTATGGTAATTTGACTGAACTTTATCTGATATTAACCATCCTAAATGTAACTTATTTTTCCGTCCTTAACTAACTACATACTACAAAAAAAATTTTCGTTGTTCCAAAATTTATTGCCATAATTTTTAATGAACATAAAATCAATAATTATTAATAAATTTTGAAGACATTAAAGTAATTGGTCTGAAATTTTCCAGATTGCTTCAGTTTCTCACAACAACCAACAAGAATGGGGTTTTTTCTTTAACTAATATAGTTAAATTAAAGATTTTGTTTGTGCAATAAATGTAAATAAAAGGATATCACTAAGATTCATAATTACTGTATATATAAGTGTAAATATTATATGTCTTATCAGTGCAATCGATGCTATTTATTCCTATTACTTATTATAAAGTGTGCTATTGATTAAAATCGATATATTCTTTATGTTATGTTATTAATAAAAATTGTGCCAAACTATATAAGTGTAATGCTTGTGTTACTATATTTTTATGTATGTAATCACAATAATTAATCACCTACATTCTTCTACAAATTTAAAATTATTAACTGTAGGATTGAATGACCGGTTCCGATTTATTTAATTATTTCATCTTTTTAAAAAAATTAATTAAACTGATTAGATTTATCGATTTTTGTTTCGAAGTTCTCACTAAATAATAAACAAAAATCTACTTCAGATAGTTAGGGACAAAAATTAGGCTAATTTTTGTGAAAATTCTAACACCACAAAGGAATTGTTAAAAATTAATGAACTTAATTCCACATTTTTATAGATAATGGTGCAAATAAGCATGCACAATCAGTTTGTAATTTTAATCATTTGCGTGTCTTGCCTCACTTTACATTTCATGTGAGTTTAGTTCAATTTACATAATTATTTCACGATGTTGTAATTTTCACAAACAAAAATATAAAAGCAGTGATTTTTTCATATTTAATTTAAATTATGCCGAAAAAAAGCACAGAATGTCTCTTAAGTTGGAGAAATGTTGTTTACTTTATCGAATGCGAGACTATTAATTTCCCGGACTGATCTAATTACATATGAAATTCTTATGTGAATTTTATACCCGTTTAATCATACTTCGAAATAACCTCCACCTGTTGTAATCGGCTGAAAAAGGTTCAGATACAACTTTGAAAGCCTTCTTTCTATAGGCTTTTTACTTCAGGCATTCTTAATATCCTTGACATATTTGAACCTTGTTTCTTAGACAAATTTTCACACTTTCGGAAACAAGAAAAGAATTTGCAATAGTACGGCGAATCTGCTAGATGAGTACGATGAAGGATTCAGACCCTCAACTTCCGAGATCAAAAAGAATTACTAGAGATACAAGGTTTAACCTTTTGACTCGGATAGGACACCGGTGTCTCCTTTATATATTTTTTTCTGACGCTCTAATTATAAGTAAAAATATATTTTGGTATTTTTTAATCTTAAAACTCTGTATAACAGTTACTTAAAAAAATCTGTTATATTATTGGAATTATACTTGGCTAAGGGAGACCTAAAAGTAATGTCGTTTCGGTGCATTTGATATTTGTTATCAAGATTTTATTTTAATCAATACTGCATTGTATGTATTCATCCTCGTTAACAGCAATTATTCAATGCCGGATGAAAAATGAATCGAAATGGATCGAAAAAAGGAATGGGTTTTTAAGACTGGCAAATATTTAATGCGCCGAAACGGCATTACCTTCCTCTCCCCTAATATTAAAATATGAAATCCAAAAAAAGTAATTCGAATTTTTTTTCATTCATATTAAAAACTTTATCAATAATTGATTTCGTAAATTAAAATTTCAGTCGTAAATAACTGTTTCTCTTAAATCTAAATAACTGCAAGTAAGTGCAAATATTTAAAAAATATTGTTAGGAAACGAGCCGTATTTGATAGATTTTACCTTTAACGCAGAAGAAGACAGCTGTGTTTCACTCAGTATTACATAACGATAAATTATTGAACTGCGAACTATACTATTTTTCACTTAATATGACTTAAATTGATACAAATTAATGAAAAAAGTATGAAAAATATATGTAATAAAAATCCCGCATCAAAACTTTAGGGATATTCAAGTTGTTAGGATAACCCCAAATTCCAGAATTTACGAGTATTCCAAATGAGAACTTAAAAAGCTGTCACTGAAATTTTTACATCTAACAAGGGAAGGACACGACTTTAAAAATTCACTTTTGAATGAAACATGATAGATTAATAGTATTATACAAGGGCTTTAAGTACCCTTAAAAATAATAAAGTGCACTAGCCAGACAATTTTGAGAAAAACGAATTTGAAAATTTACTATTTAAATGTTACGTTTTTTAACGACCCAGTGGCTTAATGGTAGTATACTGCCTGACTACGAAACGATTGTAGATCGATTGGCGTAGGGCAGTGTTTCCCAAACTGTGGTACGCGTACCCCCAGGGGTACGGGAACAGTTTAGTGGGGGTAAGCGTTCGTATGCGAAATATTTTGCAACAAACGAAAATTTCAGAACATTTTATTTAAAAACAAAGCTAGTCATGAAAATTTGAGATTACGTATTTTTCTATTGGCTATTTTTCGCAGAGTTAACAGTTAATAATTTGTGGCGTCAATAGCCAGTTGTGATTTTTAACTTTTGTGCAATTTTTTTCGTAGTAAAAAATACATTCATTTTTTTTTTGTGGTACACGGCGTTACGAAAAATTTAGAAACGGTACACAAAACTCATAAGTTTGGAAACACTGATGTAGGGTGTCATTTTATTTCCTATTCTATTAATTTTTTTCTAATATTTTCTTTTGCTTATAAACATTATTAATTTAAATTCAATTTTATTTTACTTGCTAAACCATTTTATAATTATGGAATATTATATGGGTGATTCTCACGAAACATGACATTCACTGTTCCTTGCTCCAAGATCTAATACTATAATACTAAAAGAACATTTTTTTAAGAAGCATTTATAAATAGCATTGCTGTTAGCATTTTAAAATGACTTTTCACTAGCATTGACTGTTTTGTATACTCAAAAAATTTAATTGAATATCAAAATGTCATTTTCAGACCTGCCAACTCTCCTGCTTTTAGCAGGAGTCTCCTGCTTTTGCCTCAAATCTTTCCCCTCAGGCCTTCATGGTGTTTTCTCCTGCTTTTTTTCTATTTAGTGCACAATAGAGGAAAAAAAACAACAATTTGTGCAATTTCCTTCCCAACTTGTGCTTCACATCATGCTGGGCATTTATTTAGAAAAATTTTCACCTATAGCAACATCACTAAAAATTACAGTGAGTGTGAACCAAAACAGCAGCCATAATCGATGAAATGGCAAAATCGGAGATATCTTGGACACCATTAGGCAGAATGTTTTTTCACTTTCTATAGATGGCAGTTTTTTTTAAATAATGCTAAATCAGCAACATCTGCAGTTNGAATTGTTAAAAATTAAGGAACTTAATTCCACATTAATATAGATAATGGTGCAAATAAGCATACTCAATCAGTTTGTAATTTTAATCATTTGCGTGTTTTACCTTACTTTACATTTCATGTGAGTTTAGTTCAATTTACATAATTCTTTCACGATGTTGTAATTTTCACAAACAAAAATATAAAAGCAGTGATTTTTCATATTAAATTTAAATTATGCCGAAAAATAGCACAGAATGTCTCTTAAGTTGGAGAAATGTTGTTTATTTTATCGAATGCGAGACTATTAATTTCCCGGACTTATCTAATTACATATGAAATTCTTATGTGAATTTTATACCCGTTTAATCATACTTCGAAATAACCTCCACCTGTTGTAATCGGCTGAAAAAGGTTCAAATACAACTTTGAAAGCCTTCTTTCTATAGGCTTTTTAATTCAGGCATTCTTAATATCCTTGACATCTTTGAACCTTGTTTCTTAGACAAATTTTCACACTTTCGAAAACAAGAAAAGAATTTGCAATAGTACGGTGAATCTGCTTGATGAGTACGATGAAGAATTCAGATTCACAACTTCTAAAATGAAACAAAATTACTAGAGGAATAAGACGCAGGCGGGACACCGGTGTCCCTTTTATATATTTTTTCTAACTCTCTAATTATAAGTAAAAATATAT